AAGCCCGAGAATTGAAAGTCATTTTGAGGTCGAACGCGCAACGGACTTTGGACCCATCGAGAGTGCGTGTCATCGTGAGGACAATGGAATGATCTGATCATCTACGATTAATCTAGGAGACGATTTGGATGTTCGTTTGTGAGTCCGTTCCAATTTTCCTTTTATCTTTTCCTTTCTTTAACATTTCTTTAAATCCAAAAACAGCCTTTATTTAGTGAGTGCCTTTTCATTTATGCCTTGCTCGCAACACATCAATCTCTCATCCACATTTTAAAACAATTTTTACTTCATATGCTTATAGCAAAATTTTGTGTAATTTAAACTACAGGAATTCAAATAACGGTAACTTGTTTACGTAACTCGCTCGCTTCTTATCATCGTCAGCTGACCAGTCCGGTTTGCTTGCACATCTGTTCTTTTGTTCTCCTAACGAGCTATAATATCCCACTGTATTTTATTGCCTTATTGAATAGATTTTATTTATTTTGTTGCACATTACCGCTATATAGCTATGGCTGAAGAAAAGTTGATTAAGAAACGCGGTGGAATAAAGTCGAAATTGACTATCTTTAGTAAATACATAGCAGTGCTTCAATCTGGCGAAAAACCTAGTAGTTTGCAACTGCTAGATTTAGAAAGCCGCTTCAATAAATTTAATGCCTTATACGCGGAATATGACAAATTACAGTGTGAGATCGAGACGCTTTCAGACTCTGCAGACGATCAGCTCGCGGAACGTGAAGAATTCGAATGTCAGTATCATGTGCTAGTGGCGGCGGCATGCAGTCTGCTCGGCGCGCAGCCGGCACAGCACCGCGAGCGCCTGGATGGTTCCGTATCGAGTTTCGAGGATGCACAGGCAAGTGGTTTTAAATCTAATTGTGTTAGATTGCCTAAAATCAATTTACCCGTCTTTCACTATCAACACTGACTTGAGTTTAGGGATACTTTTGTTTCTTTAATTCATTGCAGGCAAGATATAGATAATTTTTTTTTTTTTTTTTTTTTTTTTTATAAAATATAGGTGCGCATTTGACCTCCATCTCACCTGATGGAAAGTGACGATGAGGTCGACGATGGAGCATGCACACCTAAATAATGCCTATTCACTCTCGCCTTGAAAAGGTCCAAGTTATAACGTTCAGGGAACAAGTCTGCAGGCAGGGAATTCCACTCCATAGCCGTTCGCCATATAAATGTGGAAGCGTAACGCTTCGTGCGAATCTTTGGAATATCCACAACATAGGGGTGGAACCCAAGCCTACGCCTAGTCCCCCGGTGATGGAAAGGGGAAGGCGGAATTAAATCATGTAATTCCATCGCACACTCTCCGTGATATATCCTGTAAAATACCGATAAGCAGGCAACTTTACGGCGGTGTTCAAGGCTCTGCAGCTTCGCCTCCACTAATTCCGAGTCACCTATAAGCCTCTTGGCACGGTTGTCAATTGAATCCAAAGTGGCCAGTTGATATGTCGCAGAGCCATCCCAAAGGTGGCAGCAGTACTCCATGCACGATCGGACTTGTGCTTGGTACAGCTGGAGCAACTGTCCCGGTGTAAAGTACCGCCTCACCCTGGAAAGGATCCCAAGCTTCCTTGCTGCATTTTTGGCCGTGGATTCAATGTATCTGCCGAAGTTCAAATTGGACGACAGGTCCATTCCAAGTAGCTGGAGACAATCGGCTATCGGTATGGATATATCACGAAAAGTCGGAGTCAGCTCAAAGGGACTCCGTTTTGTGGAGAATAGACACGCCTGCGTTTTGGTAGCGTTAAATTTGACAAGATTGGCATTGCCCCAATCGGAGACTGCCTGGAGTGTCAAATCTAAACGGCTAACCATGGACTCTCGACAAGACTGGATTTCCTCTCCACTGACCCTTGCATTGGTCAAGTACCTATCTACAACTGTGCTGTCATCAGCATACGCAAAGGTACCTGGAATTAACATATCATTGATATGCAGCAGAAAGAGAGTTGCAGACAGTACGGAACCCTGAGGAACTCCGGCATCTATCGCCATATGTTCGGAAGAGTAGCCTTCTAAGACCACTCGAATCGAACGTTCGCTCAAGAAATCCGAGATCCAATTGCAAAGGTCAGTGGGAAGCCCATAAGAGGGAAGCTTGCTTAAAAGGCTTGCGTGCCAGACCCTGTCAAAGGCTTTAGAAATGTCCAAAGACACTGCAAGTGCTTCGCCTTGCTTTTCTATAGCCTCGCTCCATATGTGACAGGCATACACAAGAAGATCCCCAGTAGATCGCCCTCGTCGGAATCCGTACTGGCGATCACTGAGGAGATCGTTGTCTTCAAGGTACGATAGGAGACGGTTGTTGAGTACACGTTCCATAGTCTTGCAGAGTATGGAAGTGACTGAGATAGGTCTATAGTTGACAGGGTCAGCTCTGCTTCCCTTTTTTGGTACAGGTTGCACGTTTGCAAGCTTCCACGACCTGGGAACTACACCAGTCTCAAGTGAGAGGCGGTACAGGCGTGTGAGAACAGGAGACAACTCAGGTGCACAGTTACGCAGGACTATTGCTGGAATTCCATCTGGCCCGCTAGCTTTATTCACGTCTAGATTTCGCAGAGTTCTAAGTACCTCTTTTTGGCGTATGCGAACTGGCGCCATAGTGCAGCCAGCCTGAGGTAAAGTAGGTGGTAGGGTCCCTGCGGCATCTAGACGCGAATTTTCTGCAAAGAGTGAGGCAAAGAGATTCGCCTTCTCTTCCGCAGTATGAGCCAGCGAACCATCCGGCCTCAGCAGAGGTGGCAAAGATGGGCGACAAAAGTTCGATTCGACCGCTTTGGCCAGGGACCAAAAGGATTTGCTGCCTGCTGGATAAGAGGCAAGCTTGGCTCCTATGCGGCGCACATGGTCGAACTTGGCCCTACGTAACATGCTTTTGCACTTCTTGGCGGCCTTATTAAAAGCTTTCTTCATGTTCTGAGTACTCGGAGTTTTGCGTAGTCGAGCATCTGCCCAAGCTTGGTACGCGGACTGTTTACGTGCTTCAGCACAACTACAATTAGCGTTAAACCATGGACGAGCTTGGGGTCCATTGGGTACATCAGAGTATGGAATGTAATACTCCATACCCAAACGCAAGACCTCGACTACAGCATCAGCACAGCTCGACGAGTCTCCTGAAGTAAAGCACGCCTGCCAGGGATATGACGCAAAGAAATGGCGCATTTCGTCCCAATCTGCTAACTTGTATCGCCACACCCGTCTCATACCACTAGGGCCCTGATCGGGTGGGGAGTATACGGATACAGTTTTCACCAGACAATGGTCGGAAGTACCCAGTGGGGCCTCCACAACCACAGAGTATCGGTCCGGATCAGTTGTCAGCAGAAGGTCCAAGCAATTAGCCGTATGGGATTCAACATCTGGTATCCTAGTGGCGCCACTGACAAGCTGGGATAAGCTTAGCGT